AACAGTTATGTGAGGTATGTGGAGGAACTTAGGTCAGGGTGCTGCTTGACTGAAATTCCCTTCTCTGGGATTAGTGAAAGCCATCTGAGGAAAGATGAGGCTGGCAGGGAAGGTAGTAAATCACTGATAAAGCTCCCTCTCTTGACAGATCACCCAGCTGAAAATTGCTAGTAACCCCTTTGCTAAAGGCTTCCGGGAGTGTGAGCCAGATGACTGGTAAGTCTCTTCCTAGATCACTGTTCTACTAAGCCAGAGATATTTCTGTCAGTTTGAGGAGTGCATTGGCTTTGCACAGCATATTGAGAGCAGCACTCCAAATGTAGACAGAAAGAGGCTCTAAACTGAACTTGATTTTAGGAGGGAGGGTTTAAAGAGGTAACATGGACATGTTGGTCTCTACACATCTTAAGGCACCTATTTTGCTTTCTTAAATCCTCCCAAGCAATCATATCTTTGAACTTAAACACGCAACACACCCAGAACATACAGAATGCATTCACTGGGACTTGGTATGTAATTATATCTCTATATGTCCAAAGGGAACGGAGAAATATGAATAAATAAGGCCCTGGCAAAGCTGCACCTGTGTGAGCTGAAATGGATTCACCTTATCCTGAGTATGGACCTTTTACATTCTCTGCTCAAAAGTCAGGGCTCCCAAGTGTCCAATTTCCTGATTCTTGAGAATTGTATATATTTCCCTTCTGTCTCCTAACCCATGAAACAAAGGGCTCTTCCTCATAGCTGCATTCATGTGCATTCCTCTAATCTTTTGAGTTGGCAGAAAAAGATGCCAGCGCAGTTTCGGCTATCCTGAGGCCTGAAGTCAAATCCGCCTAACAAGTGTCCTGCCCTTGCAGCTTTCATGGGGCAGAATTTAAGGGCAGCCACTGGTGGATTCTCCTCCCATCCAGCATCACCAGCCTGTGGGGAAAAACACGCATTGCCTTTCTTAAAGGGTGTTGGGGTAGGCTTGGGCAAGTGTGGGCAGATGCCTGGCTTTAGCCACTTTTCAGGCTGCTGGCGTAGAGGGGCTCTGCAGCAGTTATTTGGGCTCTTTCTGAACATAGGTCTATGATGGGCCTGTGTCCAAGAATGACCCAGGTGACAGGTCGGTGGAATGGAAGAGAGATGTGGAATGAAGGCAGGAGCCCTGTGCAACTCATTGAGAGAGCTCCTTTCTTAATTAACCCCATCTGTCTCCCACTCCATTCGTCAGCTGGACTACTATCACTGGTAGACAGTGATTTACCAGTCTTCCAGAAGACTGGTAGACTGGTAAGGTAGTTTTACTGGCTTTGCTGTCATTCAGGCTAGAAGAGAAAGCTGGTAGAACTTTTTGTTGAATTTCACCCCGGCTAAAGTACCCCAAATTGAGAAGGGTTGCAAGGCAATGGCAGTGCTGGCAGTAACTGCAATCAGAAGCACCCAGAAGTATTCCATAGATGTGCAAAATGATGTCAAAAGTAGGCAAAATGGTATTGCCTCCCTCCCCAGAGCACAGCCGTGCAGAACCTCTTGTTGGACGAAGCAGGAGAAAATCTTTAATGCGCTAATTTCCCAGTTTAAATCAATTGGTGCTTTTTTTTTAACAGACCAGCAAAATGACCTGAAGAACAATGCCTAGTGACTGGTAGGGAGGGGTTATGCCCACAGTATCCTCAACCAGTCAAATTGGCAGATGCCAGCCCCTGACTGTATTAATATCTTATCGATACCTTACAAAAGATCTACAACGCCTAATTCATGATTTTGGCAATGATGTGGTCAGGGGCTAGAACAGCTAAGGACAAATTTATGCTGCCTCCACAGTTGTCTAGGGATCAAACAAAGGTTGAATCATGAGGACACACCCTCTAAAAAGGGTAAGTGGGACACAAGGATGAGACCAAAGCCATGCTAGTTCTGTCACCAACCCACTTTGCCCCATGAGGCTTTTTTCCCCCCTTTATAGTGCCTAGAACTGCTATAGAATCCATTCCACCAATATGTTTTGAGGATGATTGATTATATCAGCTACATCTGCATCATCCTGATAACCCAACAGAAGGGAGGACCGAAGACAACAGTGGTGGCTAAGGACATAGTTCCATCTGGGTCAAGTTCTACTCCCAACAACTTTCTGTAGAGTAGTGCTTGAGGGAAATTTCCAATTTTCATTCACAAACCTCATCATATTTAACCTTAACTGATTATGTTGTGTGTGTATAGGCCAGGATCCTCAGGACAACTCCTGGGCTGTTTATCACGGAATGTGAGTGCTTCCTCCTTGGCCCAGCTTCAAGAGATTCCAGAGAAAGGTAAGATGAAAAAATAATTTCCCAGCTTAGCAAGAAGTCTACAGGAAAGCACAATCTTAAGTCTCAGTGATGACATTGAGACTGTAGGGCCTACTAGTATCTGAATAAGGGCTTAAGGTAATGAAGCTGTACCACTTCCTACATCACTATTTTATAGTTTTTGTGAGTAAAAGCTGTCTGCTTCCATGCTGCCCTCATTGTAGGCTGAAGTCAGCTCTTTTTTCTGTTCATTCCATCAAGCCTGACTCCAAGTTTGGCCATAATCAAGTTGTATGTAATCTGGATTTTTGCTGAAGCATAAAATTATTATTAGGTGAAGAACGCAGAGGAGAACTTGAACTTTGTTCTTTAAAGATCTTCATCTTAAGGGTACCAAAAAATGTTTAAAAGCCTAGGCAATACCTGGAAAAGTACTGGAAGTTGAAGATTACGGCTTCCATGATTAGGAAATAGTATCTTGGCATCTTTTCACTTAGCAACCTCACAATTAGAAGAATCAACATCAACAAAGACTTGCATACATTTGCTTTTTCTTGAGGCAGTTTGATTCTATCCTTGTGCCTCTAACCACTGCACCAAACTGGTTCTCCAAGTTTAATAAGCTTAACTGTTAGCAAGAGAACAACTTGGACTAAACAATGAACTGGTATTTACTTAAATTGCTACCGTTTCAACAACGTGAAAATAGTAAAATGCAAATCACACTATTGTCTTCTGAGATCCTAGGTCTTAGTGAAATCACATAGCACCAGTAATCCCTGCAGGTGGATTCCTCAGTGGAAGTTTTGCATTTCCCGCTCTGATTAGCAAACAGCAGACAAGGTATATTTCTGGAGTGTCACACTGTATAGAAATGGACTAGGGCTTCTGGTAATAGCTTTCTCTCTCTACCTCTGCCTTTCTAGGGTTTTCCAGCAATCACCACCTCTCTCCTGCCCTCCTCAGAGAAGCCTCCCAATTCCAGCATCAACCTCTGGTGACATCGGCCAGCCTCCCAGATGTGTGTATTGCACGACGACCCTTGAATGAAGCCTCAGGGGCCCTGCCCTACAAGCACCTCTCCTATCACAGCTTCTACGTGGGAGCTCGGTCTGGGGCAGCACCCTATGCGCTGCCCAGCAGCCGGGCCACCAGCTTCCATACTCTCAACATTTACACAGCTGGGGGCTTTGAGCAATGAGAGACAGCCAGAACAACAGTTCCCTCTCCCCTGGCCCAGTTCAGATCAAACTTTCCCAAAGAACCCCTTTCATCTCCTGGTGGGTTGCCAGGAAGATCTGCCCATTATACAGCTTCCTCTTCACTGAAGGCACTTTGTGGATGGTATTTTTCATGCCCAACTGATACTTCTAACTTATCCCCTGCCCTAGATAAACAGAGTTTCCCATTGTTTCCTCAACTATATAGATATTGAATGCAAGATGTAGTCCAGCGCGAGACCAATCTCTTTTCAAAGGTGTGGTGGGACTCAAAACAAGAATGGAAAATGGATTTCACTGAGGTACTGGCCACCTGCTCACAACTGATTCTGCTCCTTGCCTCTCTGAAGCAGCCCACAACCCCACCCTCAAGCCCAGCAGACTGAAACCCGACAAACACACCCACCCCAAATCCAAATCTGCAAAGCAGAAATCCCAAGCACATCTTGCAACCCCAAATGCTCTTCAGGCAGAGATAAAAATGCAGTGAGTTTTATTTTTATTGCTGAGTTAGTGCTACAGGGGTAAGGATTTCAATGTTTTTAGCACAGAATTCTATGAGGCCTATTGAATGCACTGTCCTTCTCTTAATGGGAGGATGTGACAGAGACATGCTTCAATGCCTTCCTGTGGCCTCCCTGCCTTCAATGTGAAGGAAGCTTGTAGTGTGCTTCATGCCGAGAATCGCTCTCTTGTCTTTGGCAAGGTTAAGCTTGCAACTCCGGCCCACACAGGAGAGGTGCCGTTTTCATTTGCTCCTCTCTGGTCCACGTTCCATGGATGCGTTTTACTAATAGCCAGTAAGCTGAGCTCAAAAGATGGAAAGGATATCCACAGTCACCTCAATCCCCTTCCCTGTATTAACCTCCAACATGTCAACTGCTTTGCTTTAGATCAAGCCTGCCCTGAGGACTTGGATCTCACCAGTGCCTCCATCCCACACTTTGGCAGGTGCAGCATCAACTTGAGGTCTTTGTCATGAGAAAAAGCTTTTTGAGTCTGACCTGGACATTAACACCCAATAAAATTCTAGTGTAGATCTGTAGAGGGCAGAAGGTAGTTAAAAAAGTGCCTAGGCCAGGTCTCTTGTCAGCTAATGTGAGTAAGTAAACCACTCCCTTTCAACACAGATGAATAGTACAAATGGACAACGTCCTGGTACTCCTGTTGGATGATGCTTCAGTATTACCTATATTCTAATTCTCTTTAAGGTCCCTTACCATCCTTTCCCACCAGAGATCTCGGGTGACAGAGATATACATAAGAAGGTTATTTGAGCAGCAAATCATCTAGATAAAAAGATTTGGAAACGAGGTGGCATGATTCAAAACACAGATCTGGAAAATTGTTCCTTCAGTTCCAAAACGTCAGCCTAAATACTGATATTTCACATGTGAGTCAGTACAGGATCTCGGTTTAATTGTAACAGGCAGTTAAAGGCTAGCGCATGTTCTGCCTGGGCAGGAGTCATAACCAGTAGAAAGGGGGAAGCAAGAGTCAGTTAAAAAAAAAAAAGCAACATAAGCAGATAGCTTTGCCCATTAGTTCAGGATGGCACACTATATATTCCCTCTCTGGAGAGAAGCAGTCACTCTTCCTCTTAGATCCAAATGTCACTGGTGAAGGTGAAGGGGCTGAACTGGTACCCAGCACCTGCATAGAATTTGTTCTGGAACTCCACCCTGAAAAATACAGGACAGGTCAGTCCAGATTTTGCAAGATCAACTCTATGCCCAATTTTACCCAGTTCCAAGATAGATGCACTGTGTTATCCCAGGACCCAGCCACCCATCTAGGATCATAGCCTTGATCTGTTGAGGAGAACCACCTATCATCTCTATGATTCCTGAATGTTAGCATGGAGGCACTTAGCAATCCAAGCCAAACAAGGTAGTAGCATTCACACAAGACATTCCTGTGTTTGCCAAGAGAAGGAGGATTCCCTCTCTTGTGCATGCATGAGCATACATGTCTCACCAATGCAGGCGAAGGGCGTGCAGGAAAGCTGAGAGTCCCTCCATCACCAGCAAGATTGCCACAGTCAATACTGCGAAGAAAGCAAAGACAGGTACAAGGACAACCCCGCCTTGGTAGCCCATCATCTGAAAGCCATTCTTCATCACCATGGTCCACAGGACCTCTGAGAGCTCTGTGAACAGGAACAAGTGCAGGAGTTACCAAAGATTACCAAGTGGGCAAGTTCTCTTCCTACTGCATACCAGAAATCTCTGCAGACAGGACATGCACTTAAGGTTTAGCGCTGATGCCAAATCACTGGCTGGATATGTACACTGTGATATGGTTTATGGCATATCGTGTGTCAATCTGGCTAACCACATTGACTACTTTTCATGATTGTCTGGGTTTACACAACATGCTAAGCCATACACCACAGTACACAAAGCAAAAACCAAACAAATCACATGATGCAATACACAGACCCAGCCACAGCCACCATCACCTTTCCCAGGAGTTTCAGCAGAGATTCTCACCAAGCAAATAATCAGCCTCGCACAGAAGTTTGCATCCAAAGCCTTCCCTGCATCCCTCACTTCCCACCCCCAGGAACTCACGTGCGTGGGCCAAGCTGAGGGCCCAGAGGCGCAGGTACGAGGCTGTGTTCGAGATGCAGCCCAGGCAGTACTCAATAGTATGGATTGCTTGATGCATAAACACTTCACCGAAGTCAAACTGAAGGTGAGTTGAGAAAGAATTGGGGTGGCAGTGAGGACGAGCCAGATACTCTGAACTACTGGACTCCAGGCCCAACCCTGCCCCCCCCGAGCTTTTTCCAGAATCCCTCTAGAGTTAAGAGTTCAAAGGAAAGGAAAGGAAAGGAAAGGAAAGGAAAGGAAAGGAAAGGAAAGGAAAGGAAAGGAAAGGAAAGGAAAGGAAAGGAAAGGA